ATTAATATTTTAATCATTATATTATACACATATACATGTACATACTTTATTGCAGTTTTCAAAGAATGTTTTGTCAGATATTGGATCGTTGAGGTATGAACGAAGGAGATTAGCTCTCATTCCTTTGGGAGGCTCATTAGTCATTTTAACACCTAAACAATAAAATTACAAAAAATGAAGAATTCTCTCTTAGCCATTATTAACAAATACCCTGTACTATAGTACAGGGTATTTAAAAATTCACAAAAAATCAATTTGGATTGGAATTACATGTAGTTCTGGTAAAAATCCAATTACATGTACTTACCATTCTGTAGTATAGAGACAGGGAAGTCTTCAGAAGGATAGCTTGTCAGCCAGAGCCTGAACTCCTTGTGTGTATTCTCTGGTATAATAACCTGAAGAGAGAGTGTAGTATAACACACATGTACATGTATATGTACATACATACATGTAATACATGCACATACAGATGTATTAATGTACAATATACATGTACATGTACATGAGCTTGCATGCACATACACTGTACAGGCTCTACTCACTTCTTCACATATCTTCTCTAGTTTAGGCATCCATGATGTGGCCAAGTGACAGTTTTGTAGTACAACCCAAGTGCCCTCAGCAATAGCTTGATCTATCATCTTAGCAGCTATAGGACCCTAAAAAGAGAAAGAGATAGAGGAATGATAGTAGAGGTAGAATATCAAAATATCATACCTGTCCTTGTCCTAGAGATATGGTTTGACAGCGACTCCCACCAAATCCTTTATCCTCAGCAAACTTTAACAGTCCAGCCATTGGGTCGGCACCAGGTGAGAGTACAAATATAAGAGGAGCACAGCAATGAGAGTCAGAGAAACTACCGGCAAGATCAAAGGTAGGCGGCTCAATGTACTGCTGTCCCATTTTATCAGTTATGAAGTTTTGAACAGCAGGGACTATCTTATCTGGTCTTATGCACCTCAGAACAATCATACTGGAGAGAGAAAGAAAGAGCATACATGTACATTTGTAATTTAAGCAATGGTTTTGCATAATTATGTTTTTATTACCGATGCAGTCCTTTGACTTTCATCTCCCATGGATTAGGAAATTTTGTCTCATGAGGAGTAGGAGAATCATACAGTGTCTTCCATTCTGGACTGAAGTCTAAAAGAAACAAATTTAATTTAAGCATGTACATGTACACATACAATCTTTCCTTCAGTTATAATACATTTATAATTCTTTCTTTATTCTCCCTTACCATTCATTAGTCCTTTCAGCTCTGGTAAATTAGATGCTCTGACTATCTCACCCCACGACTTATCTGACAGCCAAGAAGGGAAAGGGTTTGGGTGAGGGTTCTCTAAAGCCACGCCTCCAGTGAGCAAGAACCTCCAACTCTCGTCCTCCACCTCCCCACGTCCCTTAAGTAACCCAATACAGAGCAATATAGAGAATAATAGTTTATCCTTCTCAAACAAAGACCGACAGACATTGTTGTATATGCTAAGGGTGAAGTGATCATTAAGGTTGGCTATTCTTTCCTGCAGGTCGGTTGATTTAACACTATTAGCTATTGACTGTGTGTATAGGTTAATGAACCAGGTTAGTGAGTATTGGTACATTGGTTCTATATTGGCTAAGTCTGATATGCAGAAGAATAGGATTGAGGAGTGAAAGGCGACTGGTTTGTAGCCGTTTCGAGTCTCGTCTATTTCTTTCTCTGTGGCTGATGCAACTTCCTAAGGAAAGAGAATGGAATAAAAAGGAAAATTAAAAGATAATTGTGATCATGTTCTACTTGTTTGGCTTGTATTTCTTCTGATAATGTCTTTGATGAGGAGAGTATCTTAATAGCAGTTTCATCCTCTAATATATTACCCTATAATAATATTTTTAAAATACAAATGTATTCTTCATACAGTAAGTCAGTCCACTGTACCTCTGCTGATAAAACTTCAAGAATTTTATCTTCAATTTCTTTCAACTACAATTAACAAAGAAGCATTTGATATACAATATACATTGAAGGTCTTGTCCTACCTGTTTCTTGTTTGCTGCACTCTCTATTATCAGTTCATTTTTCTTTTCTTCTAATTCTGGCTTCTCCCTAGCAGCGAGTATACCTAACAACTGATCCTCCAGTCCAGTAGGAGTAATCATGAAATTAACCAAACACACCTAAACAACAAAATGACATTTTAATTTGTATAGTTGTACATTTACTTACTTTAACAGATACTTCAGGAAGGTAGTGTGGGTTTCTAAATCTCGTAGTTATATAGAACCTAAAGTCCTGACTATACTCAATGACATTCTCTCCCAGTCTAATATACTCCACTCCTCCTTGTTTGAAGACCTGACGGAGCAGCAGAGGCTCCAGGAGTGGATCCAACTCTTCCCCAACATTCTCAAGGAGGACTGGAGTACCAAACTGTATTGAGTTCTCAAGTGTACGGGCATAGTTAGCATCAGAGAGTTTTATAACGGCTAGTTTATTGGGCCTTTCAAGGTTCTTGATCCATTTATTGGCCTGACCCTGTGGGTCAATGAGCAGCGGCCAGCGACGAGAGTTTGATAGTATGATCCCGTTATCAATAGAGAATGAGTCAACTGGTAGTCCTGCTATCTGCCAGTTCCTTATAGTCACTGGCTGTCCGAGTGTCTTACTCAATGAGAATGGATCAGAGCAAAGGATACCTTTATTAAGACACAACCGGTGCCATTCCCTGACACACTCCAGTCTAAAGTCAACAGTGAATGCTCCTAAATAAGCGACTATTCCTGAGGAAAGAAGAACATCCCCTGTTACATTATCGTATAATTGTCCAAGCTCTCTTGCTGCCTCGCTCCACCTGTCCTTCTCTCCTCCCAGTCCATCTATCAGTTTCTCAGCTCTGTCTAGCTTCTTTGAGCAAATGTCAATGTTCTCTTCGAGCTGCTCCTTCTTAGCAGTCATAGCATCAAACTCGTCATTGAGGGACTGGAGCTTATCCAATACCTAAAGACAGAAAAATAAAAGTAAATAAAGTGACATGCAAACACAGCATTAATATTGTAAATTTGTAATAAATATTATACATGTACATGTACATGTACAGAACATATATACAATGTACTTGTACATGTATGCATGTATACATTTAGCATACAGCTTTTAGTTCAGCTCTTTTAGTGTTCAATTTCTCCATTTGTACGGACAATTCTTGCTCTGCAATGGCAAGACTTTCTTTCTTTGGAGCAACGACTTTGGCCACTCTGTCATAGACTTCCATGGCACGCGTCCACTTGCACAATCCTTCACAAGCAGTGGATGCTGTCTTCACTACATCTGGATGAAACTCTGCATTTGTTATGTACCTACACGTACAATAAAGAAAGAGAAGATACATGTACATATACATGTAATTTAAAATGCAGTAAGTACGTGTACATGTGCATACTCAGGGTTTCGAGCTGATTCTGACAAACATTTATGACCATTTCTTTAAAATAAGCAAATTTATAAAAATTATAGCCCATGATTTTTTCCAAAAAATGGCTCCGAAATCACCCTAAATTTTTATTACATTTTTTATACATATTGATGTCTTTATGCTGTGTAGAAAGTTTGAGCTGATTCCGACAAATACTTTTTGAGTTATGACCATTTTTAAAAACAAGCCAAATTTGAAA